GAGTGGAGGGGCCATCTCAGGATCCCCAGGCCTGTCAGTATTTAAGAGGCATTAAAGGCAAAGGACAATGCCTTTGACAAATATGCTTTAGCTTTTGTCCCGCCCTGAACTGGTCATGCGCTTGGAGTAGGTGATTGTTGTAGGTCCCTTGCAACTGAAATACCATCTTTGCCAGGAATCAGGGCTGTGACTGAGCAACTAAAATGGACAAGAGCGGTGTTGGCAGAACTACTCTGTACTACAAGGCCTATGTAACAGTGCTTGACACTGAATAATCATTTCAAATATATGTGAAAGCTTGACTAAGCCAGAAACTGCAGTTGTAAAGGCAGTGGAGAAGAGAGCAAAAATTTTGGCTTAGTGCTGCTGTATTCCCTGGAAAGCAAAAGAGCATCAAGGCATTACACAAGAGGTAGGCTTTATTTGGACATATCTGCAGTTGTTTTCTGTCACACAGTTTCTTCATGTTTCTGGATATTTCCCTCCCCCTTTGAGATTATTTTCGTATACGCATGAATATATATATATATATATATATATATATATATATATATATATATATATATATATATATATATATATATATATATATATNATATACATATATATATATAGACATGCACACCTAGAGCATACTTGAAAATGCACTGTTCTTTTTGCTGAAAAATGTTAATAATGTTCCTTTTTTTCACAAGACAGTGAAATAAATGCCAAAACCTGCTTATGCAGTTACATATTACAAGGTGTTGTTTGAAGTCTCCCATATACAAAAAGATTGCCAGAGCTGCTGTTCTGCATCCCAAGTCTGCAGGGCATGTTGCAAAAAGGTTATGTTGGCTGGAGCACAAGTCTGTCTTGTGATGACAGGAGACTGCCCCCAGGTATTCCTGGTAGCTGGATGATTTGAACTCTGTGCCATTATCCAGAAGCAGCCAGCAGCCGATACATACCTGTAAATGCTTTTCTAGTTTTAGTGAAAGAGACCCATAACCACTACTGAACTCTTAATACAAGGACTGAGCTAATCAGCAAACAAATGCATGCTGTATTCTTCAGGAAAGAACTCAATCCTGATTTGAATCTCCTGATTGCATTTGGGGAGCTCTTTACCTTGCATTCCCAGCACATTTTAAAGCTTCATGGGGTAGTGATAGGCATGTTTTTCAAGTTGCTTTCTTATGCTTTCCACCTCCAGCTTGCTTGACTATTTTTAATTTTTCTTGTTGGGCCAGCTGGTTTCACCAAACCAACTAGAGTCTCAGTGACACTGCACAAATTTGCTGCAACTAGCCTGGTGTACACTGAAAGGAAATGTGATAGAATACCACAGAAAATCCTCATAGCTTTGAGTGTTCTCAAAGTGGACAGTAGAAAAATGTCTTTGCTGTCTCCAGAGGTCTTAAATTAAAATAATGAGGTAGAATTTTTTTTACTCTTTTTGCAGTAAAAATTGGCATTCCTGCTTTGCTGCAGTCTTTCCTGGGGATATGACTGATTTATATGTCACATTGAGGTTTTAAGATACACTTGCCATGTTTGGCCAGAGGCGAGTCTCTCTGGCTGTCAGCATGCTGGCTTGGCTTCAGATGTTCTGGCTGCTAAAGCCCTGCCTCTGGGAACTCACCTGTCTCACAAGTGATGCTGCCCTGGAGACTCATCTGGTTTGGGTATTTGCAGTCCCTGAGGAGCCACAGGGCCTGGTGCCAGTCTGAGGGACTGACACACACCTGCCTGTACAGCTTCACCTGGTAGAAGGTGAGTTTCTTCTTTCTGAGTTTCGTTCTCTTTTGATGTCAGATTAAAGCACTTGGCCCAACAGATACTGTATTGTCCAAGAGTCTTGCAATTCTCATATACTGCATTACTAAGCTACCTACCAAGCAGGTTTAAAAGGTAGCACTGTGATCTGTGAAACAGGCACCAGTCCCGTCTTAGAGTTCCCACTTACTGGATTTTTTTAAAGGCTTTCTCAGTTAACAGATGCTTCCTTTTTGAGCTTGTGGATTCTCCTGGATGTGGCAGTGAAATCAGAAACCTACAGTGAGAAATGAATTCATTTGTGCCCAATTCTCTTCCAGCTCTTGCATTATTATTTAATCCAAACACTGACTAGAGCAGAGAGAAACTCGGGTTCCATTTTCCCTTTCCCTATGGATGGCTACATCCCAGTGGTCTTCCCAGGTGGGTGAATATCCCACCTTGTAAGCTCCAGGAAAATAACCTCATTAGGAAGAACCAAGCCACCTACCCTGATTACAGCAACTACCAAGGAAGTGCAAATTAAATGTCAAATCTCCCTCAACAAAGGTGGGAATCTTAGAGGTTCCTTGTAAAAGGTCATAGCTTTACCTACCACACAGCTAGAGATTAATGGGAAGCTGCCCCTGAAAAGTCTGAAGGTGTCCTCAAGCTAAGGTGCTGGAATTGCACCCTGCTGTGACACAGTTTAGGGAATGCCCTACAGCAGTGTACAAGCATCAGTTTTGCTGCATTATGAGGGCTTAAACTGTCCCAGCACAGGCAGCAGCAGATCCTGGGTTTAAAGGGAAACTTTCTGGTGGAAGATGGCCCTGTCCCATTAGCAGAACTGGGCTTGTGAAGATTTGTGGGTTGGATTTAGAAATCTCCCAGAGCAGTTAGGTAATAATTAAATTATTGCTAATATTTAAATAATTGATTTGCAACTGTTAGCACTAAACTTGCACTGCTGATTCCTAAAAATTCCTCACTTGGTGGGAGATGGAACAATAAGGTTGTGTTTGCCAGCTAGGTCTCCCTAAGCACTCAGCTCATTTTGTTTGTTTCCATGAGTCATTTTTACAACAGGCAACGATAATCTTGAGTCATACATAGTCTGGAGCCAGCTTCTTAGAGAACACATCTTTCTTGAGGACAGTGAAAAATATCCTGAAAGGAAAGTGCTTCTCTGGCTTTTGTAAGTAAGAAGAAAACGTGTTTTTAAACCGAAAAAAAAAAAAAAAGCATATAATATGCTTGGCTTTTGAAAACACAGAAAACAACCTTTCCTGTCTGTCCCTACCATTCTGAGACCTAGAAAGGCATGGGACAGAAAGGACAAAAGAATGCTAAGCCCTCCTTGAACAAGTGTGCAGTTGCTGACTGCATGATAACGCACAGGTCCAGAAGCACAGGCAGGGAAAGGAGACATAGGCTTTGATCAGGCTGTGAAGTGCAAGTTCACTGCACATCTTGGGCTACTGACTACCAGCTGCTCTGTCAGAAACAGACAGAAAAGCCTTCCTCCTACAAACACAGCCGGCCCAGCTTCTGCTTATCTCTAACACCGTCATTTCTGGAAATCAGGTGTCAAGAGATCTTCCCAAATCAGGTGCTTTAAAACTCCACTCACAGTTTCCTTCCTGTGCTCACAACTGCTCCAGTGCAACCCTAGCTGCACTAGGACTGACTCAGAGGTCCTCTGTGGACAGAAAAGGTTTTTATTCCTGCTTTTCTTAAAGCAGCTCAGCTTCCAGGATGTGGTAATTTGTTGTGGGAAGGCCCCATCTCATTGCCTGGAAACATAGTTATTAGGGAGTATCTGTTCCAAAACTAAGTTACAAAAGCACAAGTCTTCATCTGATCTCCTCAGATGGGAAAGGCTTCAGCTAAATACAATGTACTGCTTTACAGGGCAGGGAGTTCTTCCCTCACCTAAAAAAATTGTTTGTTCTGAGGCTACAAACAGCTGTTCTGCATTTGTAATAAGGAAAAAGACACTACACAAACCACGATGATAAATACTACTCTATGTGGCACAAACAGACTACTAAAAAGGTCAGTTGATCTAAAGAATGTACAGGTGACAAATGTATGTACATGTGAAAAATGAACATACAGTCCTGCTATCAGTTAAACATGGCTGGATCAAAATGCTAACTCCTAAGAACCAAAGCATCATTTTTATTACCTCCACTGAGAAGTGGCTAGTGTGCAAAATAAAATACTGCTGCCTCAAATGTGTTGTCTGTTTAAGCTAAGAAGGCTGCTTTATCCATATAAACAGATGCTGGGTGTTAAAGCTCCCCCAAAAGCACCAATGCAGGAGTCTGTCACAATGACTCTGGCAGAGGGTTGGTTTGTGCATTTGACAGTATTGACTAATAACATTTTTATTTCTTTTTTCTCTGATTTGTCTTCTACAATGCAAAAATTTCCCTTCTAATGGCAAATACTGCTGCACTGCCAGAAACAAACCCTGTAAAATTTTTTAAACTTTTCAAAATCACCATTTTTGTAGCTAAGCAAAGTTGATTCTGATTTTTCTGACCTGTTTTATTAACTTCCAGCAGCAAGCTTTAATCTCAAGAGTGTCATGAATAGCCAATCATCTTTTTACTCCATAAATAGACAATAACTGTTCTAAATCCTTCAGTAGTAGCAACTTCACCTTGCATTCACATCTTCCCCGTGGAAAGCTGAGGCAAGTTTCTTCCTGCACTGCTGCTTCCACCTGAGTCACTCACCTTGTCTCCCAGCACTTTTGGCCCTTAAAGGCAAAAGTGAAAACTGATGCAGATTAATATCATTTTGCTTTGTACAACCACGGTTTGCAATTGCACTGAATGAATTGATTATGCCGACCCACATTACTAAAATAGTACAAGGAGTAAAAATTCATCAACCATATTCACTACAATTTCACTTTCTTGGCTCTGCTTTACTGAAAACATGAAAATAGCTGACCACAACTGTAAACTTGAGCAAAGATGTAAACTTTGATACACTAGGGACAATTTGAAAACCTAGGGAGAAAATTGCAAAGGCAATTGCTTAGGGAATGGCAGGAGCACAATGGAGATATATCTATTGAGAACATGTTGTTTAAACTGTTGTTCTGCTTTTACAGGTAAACAGCTTGGGAAGGAGTTCATTTAGCTACAGAAATGTGTCTTTTGTAGCTACCTCTGGAAACAAGGGACAAGGAAAATGTTTCCATATAGACTATAAACCCATCACTGAAATCAAATATATAAACTGAATATATTAAAGCTTTGAATTTTATTACACTTAATTTCTTCTGAATATCTTACCCTTCTCCCCTGTTCAAGGTTCAAACCTAAACATGAGAAATGGAAGGATAAAGGAGAACTCCACTAAACGTGGAGTACATTTCGTCAGAGTCTGTGTAGGCCAATTTGCCTCCTGTTACAACAACGTTTACTTCGTCTCCTGCTTTGAGGTGAAGAACAAGGTGGAACGTCCCAGGACCACCACAGGTCTGTTTCCCCGAGTAGGGTTTGTGATACTCCAGCAGTTCCCTTCTGTAGCCAGCAGTGTGGAGCTGAGCCACGCTCGCGTTGGAGACGGACAGCACCGCTTCCACGTACTCGTCCCTCTCCGGGGCCAGCACGGCGGTGATCAGGTAGCGCCCTTCATACGGCGATGTGAAAATGCCTGCAGAAGAGAGACAGCCTGGACTGACCTCAGCCACCCAAAATGGGGACACCTGACTGCCCTAAGCACAATGACAAACATAAAGCCATGTGGGTCACCCCCTCCTTTGTAAGGCAACAAGGTCAGCCTGGGCAGGTGACCGACTGATTGGAGTCATGGAGACGAAGGCACACCTAGCACTGTGCTTGAGAAGGAGGCATGCCCAGTTGGGACCCTGGGGAGGCAATATGAGAACTCTCCTCCCCTCCCTCTCTGTGGATGAGTAAGAACCTCACCTCTGCTACCTGGGCTCAGCTAGCCTCAGGTGGGCTGAGGAGCACAACCAGCTGTGCTGGCAGGGCAGATGTAGAGGTGAGCTGGGTCTCAGCAGTACTGGGCAGTCATGGAAAACCAGCCATGAAAGTGCATGCCTGTGCACACCCACAGGAAGCTTTTACCCCCGTGTGCCTAGTTTAGATGGACTTGGTTTGTTCAATGTACCAGCAAGGCCTGAGGTAACATGGAATGCTGGTCACCCATGCTCCTGCCTGTCCAGCATGTCTGTGGGTGCATTCCTTGGCTGTTACCTGTATTGGGGTTATAATAGTCCCCATCATTCACAAGCACTTTGTTGAAGTGAACCACACCAACATCGCTGGAGAAAGGCTTCTGTGTGAGCCCAGCAGAAAATGACACCAGAGAGGGCACAGCAGCAGTGGCAGGTCCTGAAATGGGTAACAACATGAATCAGAGTCACATCAGGATGATAACACAGCCTTTTCCCTATGATGCCTTATAATCCTCTGTCTGTTCCTTCACATACTCCACTTGGACTAATTCTGCCAATTACAGGATGACAGAAGTAGCAGAATATGTACTGCTGGCCCAGGCATCTCACCATAAAAATTACTGAGCACCGAAGTTCCTACCTTGGCCACAGGTTCCTTTTGGGTTTTGTTTTCCCTTTTAAGGAAATAATTAGTAAATGCTGGCAGTGGAAATCCTACTATCCTTCAATTCAACAATGCTTCTGCCCAAGACCTTCTTAGGACAGAGGCAGCCTTTCAACACGTCCATTCTTCATCACTATCACAATGGCCATAGAAATGCTTTCCTTGTCATATTGAGAAGCTGTGCACAACTTAGGTCTCCCACTTTCTCTGCCAAAGTCTAGTGAAAATGACTATAAGAACATATAACATTTCCATATTAATGCAAAGAGAACCTTTTGTCTCTCTCCAGCACTTCTCTTTTGGGGGACTTTTCACTGTACACTTTTTTCTTCTTTTCTCAGCAGATCAAACAGGCAAGTATGTTAGAGTGGCTATCCAGCTGCTAGATGAGCACTGCTGTTAGACTGAGTTGGATGAATTATAATTTGGACAATTATGACAATTTTAACTTTTAACAAACTGACTTAATATCAAGTGTTCAGTGCTCAGCCACTTATTAATCCCATTCCAAATACCTTCCCTTTAAACATTTTCCTTAAAGCAGTACACATTGCTATAAGTAGTCAATTCTTGCTGCTTTGTCTGGGCAAGCAGCTAAACAACAAATGCCCTAAAGTTGTCCAGAGCTGCTGTTTCACCCTGCTCCTTCCGTACCTTCCTTAAAATTAATGTTTGCCCTCTCTCTCTGAATCAGAGATGTCGATCAGCAACAAATGCTAAATTCATAAAATCCTGAATTGAAAGAGACCCACAAGGACCATTTAAGTCCAACTCCTGGCCCTGCAAAGGACACTCCAACAATCACACCTTGTGCCTGAGAGCATTGTCCAAACTCTTCTTGAACTCTATCAGGCAGGTGCTGTGACCACTTCCCTGGCACTTGCAGTACCTGACCATCCTCTGCGTAAAAACACTTTTCCTAAAATCCAACCTAATTCAGAGGATATTTCTTAAAAACGGAAGCTTAAAAAGTCACATAACTCCATCTAAAATGTGGATATACAAATGTTCTGCTATCCACTGCTTTTCTGAATAACTCAGCCTGGGGAAGTGGGGAGGAGAAGGCAAAGGGGAAGACATGCCTGCAACTTCAGAATTGGCAGATAACTACATTGATTTCCCTCAGGGGCTGGTAACCAGCTGCCTCATGTACCTTTGGAAATCTTCTTATTCAACATTTTGTCTCAAGCTCAGAAGATAGACAGAAGCCCTTTTTCATTAGTCCTACCTGCCAGTGTGCCTGCAGGTGCTCCTGCAAGCTAAGATGAGGTTATTAGAAAGGACCAAAATTAATTGCAGGAAGCCTAGTTACTTAAACAGCTTCTGTAAAGCTCCACCACCTTAACACAATGCTACTTACACAGAAACTACTCTCAGCTTACCTTGAGACTGAAATGAACTGAAAACACAACTCAAATTGTTGGCTCACTCAAAAGTTTTTTTTCCCTGCAAAATGGAACAAACCATGTGCTGCCTGTCTAGAAACACTGCCAGCTTTGGAACAGCAACAGTTACATTTGGGTTGGTGTCATCTGAATAAAGGAATGACTCCTGCCCTGGCTCTCCACAGCTTCCTTCAAGATTTTCCTTCAGTAACTGCTAGAATAGTTATTAGAACTAACTATTTGTTGCTAAGCTCATGAAATTGCTTCAGATCTGCAGCTGAGTTTAACACACCATATGTATCTATTCAAAGGAGAAATCTTAAACCTGTCTAAATATCCTGTAGATCAGTTCAGGGGGTGATATAAGGAGACACAGTAATGATGCAGTGTGTCTGTTCTCTCCTCCCCTCTTCCCACCTTCTAGATGGAGTTGTGCTGGTTTAAAGACTTCACAATTCCTACCAACACCTCAGCAGTGCTTTTTCAAAACTTCACAGAGGGCTGCTACCTTCTCTTACATGTCCCCTCTTACAAACACTTTTCTTCATGCAAAGATCAAAGTTCAGCTTCTTGAAGGAAGGTCCAGGCTTGGACACTTACTTTCACTTAAGCAGTCAATATTGTGGAAGTATAAACATCAGAAAAAAAAAAAATTAAAGCATTTTAAAGCTGTGAACCATAGGCACAGCTCTGATGAAGAAACTGCTAATCAGACAAAATGCTTTACAGAAGTTTCAACCACAGTTTTACTCCCCCTTTTGGGGAAGGAAAAAGCTCTTTTGACTTCAGGTGCATTCAAGAAGGTTTCACTTGATAATATATACACAGGTAAACAGGAGCAGGTAAGTCTGTTCTTGGCAAACTACACTATCCTACGTGTGTTCTGGGGAGTCAAAAAACCACAGAAGATGCATGGGTGGCCCTTGTTAGGTTACATCTACTTCCACCCATCTGCTAGTTGTGTTCCTGGTTCCAAGAACAGTTCATGCCTCCCACAGAGCCCAAGGGCCAGAAGGAAAGAAAAGAAAAAAAGATCATTAAGCAAAACAAAACAGCACACAGCATAGGCATTTGCTATCAAGATGAAAGAAGAAAAAACTAACAATGTGAAGGTGCTGTGGACAACTGCTCAGCAACGGGAATGAGGATTCTTTAAGAACTGACACAGAAGAGAGACTAAGTACATAATTCATTTGTCAGTACGCACTTATGATTCTCTTGGATACCGCAGGACTAAGGAGGATTTGTCAGATTTCCTCTCACAAATGGTCAATACTTCTAAAGCTAAATGGGGGCAAAGTGTGTAATTTCAGTTAGAGCAAAGGGGACAAAAATTCAAGCAATTTGTCACTTCCCTGCCTATGTTTTTTTTTTAAATTCTCCAATTTGACCTTAACATCTCATTTTCAGAAACATTCCTCTGCCTATGGCTTGGCCATGCAGCACAACACTAATTTCCACGAGCCAGTGCTCAATGAAGCTGCTCTGCTAAGTCACAGTGATTCTGATGTGGATGATATCTCAGTGTGTTATGAAGACACACATACTTTCCTGCTGAGTCTGTTAGTAACATCTGTCTGTTCTTACAATTCCATCCTTTCACACTGCAGCAAGAGAATATTGCTCCAGCACTTACCTAATGTTTCTTATACATAGCTAAAGAATCTGAAAAAAAAATAAATTCTCTGGTACTGAAAATATGCAAATCATGCCTCAGCATTCAAGAAAAGCATGAAAGTGGGCTACTTTAGTCCCAGGAGACAGAATTGGAGCATTGTAGCCCTCAACTTCTTCTTGAGCAGTGCTTTTATGTAACAGAAGCTATTCAGAAACACATTCAGAAATGAAAGTGAGTACTCAGAAGGCCATTTTAATAGTACAAGCTTCTTACATTAGGAATTATAGTACAAGAAGGTCTGGTCATCTTTCAGATTTGAATTTAAGTATACAAAATGTACTGGGTGAAGACTGCCAAAGACATCACAAATGGCTGTCCAGAGCTAATGAGACAGTAAGGATTCCTTGATGCCTTGTTTACACAGTAAGTTCCTCCTCCAATAAGCCAAAAATCTTCCCTTCTCCAGCTGTTAATTTCCACAGCACTATTAACTGCTGAATTCTGTCCTAGAATGCTCTCTCTTCATCAAACACTGACAATTAGAATCACAGACTCAATTAGACTGGAAAAGACCTCAGATCATCGAGTCCTACGTATGACTGAACACCACCATGTCAACCGTGGCACTGAGTGCCACATCCTGTCATTCCTTAAACATCTCCTTGGGTAGTCCATTCCAAGTCCATTACACCCTTTCTCTTCATGTCTAGCCTAAACCTTCCCTGGTACAGCTTAAGACCATGTCCTCTTGCCCTATCACTTGTTGTCTGGGAGAAGAGGCCGACCCCAGCTGGCTACACCCTCCTTTCAGGTGGCTGTAGAGAGTGATAAGGTCACCCCTGAGCCTCTTTTTCTCCAGGTTAAACACCCCCAGCCCCCTCAGCTGCTCTACACAGGACCTGCGCTCAAGACTCTTCACCATCTTCACTGCCCTTCTCTGGACACACTCCAGCACCTCAATGTCCTTCCTGGGTTGAGGGGCCCAGAACTGGACACATCACTTGAGGTGTGGCCTCCCAGTGCCAAATACAGGGGAAGAATCACTTCCTTGGTCCTGCTGGCCACACTATTTGTGATAGAGGCCAGGATGCCAATGGCCTTCTTGGCCCCCTGGGCACATGCTGCCTCATGTTCAGCCACTGTTGACCAGCACCCTCAGGTCCTTTTCCTCTGGGCAGCTTCCCAGCCACTCTGCCCCGAGACTGCAGCAGGTTGTTGTGGCCGAAGTGCAGGACCTGCTACTTGGTCATGTTGAACCTCATCCAATTGTCCTCAGCCCATCAATCCAGCAGTCCTGATTAGAGACATTGGATGTAAATGCTCCAACTCCACAACAGTCTGAACAGCTTTTTTATCTCTCTCTTTTCTGACTCTCTCCCGCTGAGGTCTGCAAGGCACACTGTGGGAATTTTAAGGACGTCAGCAGGATTATCTTGTATTTAGATAGCTGTTCAGTGGCATGGATCAGGAAAATGAACTCTCTGGTCAAGCCTACCTCCCTCTGGACCCCAGGGTGGTAACTGTTCCACCAACATGTTCCACCAAACAGCAGATGGGTGCACTCCCGCCTTGCCCCACCTTTTCAACACTTCTAACATCCACCTACTGTTTCACACAGTTTTAGCATAAACTTATTAAAATACTGCTATCTATAAATTGCTATGGGAAGAAAACCCCCAGGAAATCCATTTATCACAGAAATCTAGACATCTATATTGGTTTTGCTGGCATCAAGATAAACGACTGTTTCTTTACTTCTTATCCTCTTCCAGAAACCTCATCTATTGCTGCCTGTTCTTACCACTACAATCCTCAAATGCAAAAAGATTGCTTTAAGGCTATGATGGAATTTTAAGTAGCAGGTACGAATATCACTATGAGAGCATGAACTCTTTACAATTCTTTTTTTGTCAGTCCCCAGACCATTCTTCATGAAGTGTATTTGTGATTTTGTTATGACCATCAAACTAAATCCTGGGGCAGTAGGTTTTTGAATTCCATAAAGCCTTAATGTTTTACTTCCATCTATCACCCATATTTCCACAAACAAATTTAAATTAAATAACTTTTTTTGAAGAGGATGTGGAAATACTTTGATCAAGGATACCATTCTCCAGGGTTTGATAATATCTTGAGTATGAGGCTGCAGGGCTGGCAGCACCCAATCAACATATTTATCTAGGCCAACCAGCATGTCCCACATAAATTTTATGCCTGTTCATCATACAAATTCATAAATAGTGATATTAACAATTATAAAAAAATGCACCCCAGCAAACCCAGAAAACTGCATTTTGAATCATTGTAATCAGTGGCTGTCATTGGCAGCACTTCTGCTTTTACTGAAGTCAGGAACTCCAGCCTTGGTGACTAGAATGAAGCCAGAAACTCTCCCAGTAGAAGAACAACCCCATGCACTAGAGTAAGATGCCAGCAGTTACTCAAGATCTTAGTCTTGGCCTTATTCATGTTTTATTAAAAAAATAGTAAAACCATCATAAATATCTATTTATTTTCTCATTTAGAAAGCAAACAGAAAGGTGCATAGTGAAATTAGTTAGAAAATACAAACTCTCTTATTTAAAAAACACACAGTGAAATCAGTAGCAAGAACCTGAAATGATTTTTCAAAACCTAACTCCTCTCCCCACCTCTATATTTTCAAAAGATACAGGTTTTATTTTGCTTAGGTCTAGCAAAAATCAATCCAATTTTCCTCAATGCTAAACTTAAATACTAAAAATTAACACATGTTTTTTTCTCTCAGCCCTGACCATCCAGGGATTGAAATAAATGTTAAGAACCCATGTGAAAAATTTCTAGGAAACAACTGCCTTACCTTGTGATTCCGTGGTAGGATGAGATGACTTTGGATATCCTACAAAGGAAAAGTGGTATGTGTGACTCAGTACACAGCAGAGTAAATTATGACCAAATATCACTGCGATATCACTAAAAAGCATCCCTGGTTACTGAAAAGCAAGCTACCAAAACAGCTGTTGAATAGTGTCTCCTATGAAATGCTCAATTATTGTTAAACTGGAGTGGTCACGGCAAAGAGAACCAACTTATTACTCCAATATACTAAATCTACTGCAAGCATTATGGAAAGAAAGAAAATAATTCAGTTTCCATAGTGACAAAGACTGCTGTAGTTACCAGTGATTTTACATCATCTCTGTTGACCTCATGCTTTGTGCATCCTTGGAAAGGCAGTAAAACTGGCACTGGATGTGCTTTCCCTACTTCTGCAGCCAGCTGGAGGCTGCAGAGGCCCATTCACAAATCATCTCTGCTGTAAACCCATTCCCAACAGCAACAGCCTCAGTGGGTGTCCACAAAAGGCCAAAAGGGGGCTGGTAAAGCACAGCAGGTCTCAGTGTCAGCTCTCCAGCAAGACCTGACACGTCCATTGCACTCAGGAGTGATGCACTACCAGCCTGGTTGTCTCACCTGGTGCTCCAGCATACCCCTCAGCAATGGGCATGGTACTCTGGCCAGCCTGGCCATCCACACTTCTAAGACGCCCTCTCCCAGACATTAAAACCGTGCCAGGAGGTCCTGCCTCCCCAGTCTCCAAGATGATGCCGGTTGTTCCAGGCAGAAGTGGCACAACTGCTGACCCTGGCAGAGCTGGGCGTGGAGGAGGTCTCAGCTGTGGTGGGAGGAGGGGGATCCTCTGTCGTGGGGGCTGTATCCTGGGCCGTGATGGCAGCAGGGATATGCCAGGCTGGGGCTGCATGGGTGGCCTCGGTGGCAACGGCTGCTGTGGTACTTCTGGTCGCCCTTTGGCATGATGAAAGAGGAGGAAAAATACAAAATTATTTGCCTAAAATAGAACATAAGCTTGCATCTTTTTTTATGATAAATACTTCAAAATAAAACAGGACTCAGTTGGAGGCCACCTGTTCCCTCAGATCTGAGACTGCACTGGCTAATCGCCATCCAACTCCTGAAGTACAACAGACTCCACTCTTTACAGCCCTGGGACACAGGGAAAGGAATGAAGACAGCCTGGAGACAGGACAAGCAGAAATCAAATAACCTATGAACATTCATTCAATTGTTACACCAGCTTGGCTTTTCTGCACAAACAGGTGGAGTATCACACTTATTCCCACCAGTACCTTCATTCCACAGTGTGCTTCTCTCTCTCTCTCCCCCCTTTCACTTCAGTTCTCCTCAACCCCTCACACCCACTGTTCTTGCTTTCAACTCTCTACTCCCACAGCTCTTAGCACAAGGCTGCCTCTTTAGCACGACCATAAAGAAAATTATCCACAGCAAAAAACATCAGTAAATGAACATGACTTAAGAGGGTTTTTTCCCTTACTTTGCAAAACAACAAACTTAAACGTCCTAGTACTTTCATTACTATTATTTTCTGACAATAAAGGCAGGACTCAAAGATATAATCTACCAGAAAATTATTTATTGTTTAAATAGAAGAGACACCATTAAAATCTTCTCCAGTGGGGCAGCCAACCCATATGACATCAGGGTTGAACAGCACTGACATGGTTCCCTTTGTGTATCTGGTCAAGTTCTAACCCTTTATAGGAATTTTGGTTTATTCATAAAAATTAAGCCCTAGAGGCAATGCTCTCCCAAGTGTAAAGCTGAATTACATTTACACTAAGAACAGAAATTAACAAATGTAGATTTTAGCAGATGCAATGACAGCTTTACACAGAATAAACAGAATTTCATGCTAAATTAAACCTCAGCATAGGTTAGTTTGCTTGCATTTTGAGACTAAAACATGTCTTTATGTGCAGGGATGACTGTGAGTTTCTGTAGAAATGAGCAAACATCCCCTTGCAAATTTATCTGATACAACTTGTTGCATACCAGAGATGCTTGGTAGAGCAGTAGAATCACCTCTCTGAGTGATGCTCACAATGAAGCACTTCTATTCAGTACAGTCCAAAATCAGCCTAGGCAAATTCACCAGTGGCTAGGGCCAAGCCATCTGGCTGTGCCGAGGAGCAGATGTGGTGTGAGGCTTCCCCTGGCTCTGCTGTGTGTCTGGGGAGCCCAGGAGAGCCTTACTCTACACCTTTGGGGAAGAGCTTACAAAAAATTTGTGTAGGTATTGTCCCCAACACGTGTCTGGGGTCCAGACAGCGTCACTGGCAACCCACCTGCTGTTCTGTGACTACTCAACACCTGCACTTTACCCTTGTGAATTTCATTTCTTGTTTTCAGTCTCATAAAAGCCTACATAAGCCTGCAGGAGGACTGGGAGGCTGTCTGAAGTCATAGTCTCACACCATCTGCATTAATTTTCTAGATATGGCTGCTAGGAAAAAACCTGCCTGAGCTTTGCTGGCTGACTTTTAAGCGTCAGGAGAATTGAAACTCATACAGGCAATGCACCACAAAGCTGGGCTGAAGCTCACTCAGTAACTGTCCACAAGGCAGAAGCCTAAATAGTGAAATGTTTGCTTTATACAGATTAAAATTATTTTCATAAAAACCTTAAAATTAAAAAAATCTTTAAAACATTTTCAAAAAACTCTGAAAGTATTAAAGTTAATTTTTAAACAGAATTGTTTGCTTTGTAAGACAATTTCTGTCCACAGAGGCATTGATTTAGACCTTCAACTAAAATCTTCATATTAACCTCATTGAAAAAACAAATTGACAAAGTACCTTAACTTGGGATGCATGCACTTGTCATTTCTTTAGTTAATTATGCTAAGTTTCATTAAGACAATTATTTGGGATGACACTGAGAAAATGACTACATTTCTCTTCTTTTCTTTGCATTTCTAGACCTTTAAATAACAACTGAAATCCCGTATCCTGAGCACACTGCTTCCTTGCATGCAACATGAACACTGCAATATTCAGAACTGTCCCATCTCCATAACACTAAACCCAGAATCACTGGCCTAAAGCTCAAATTCAAGTGGAAGCAATCAGATATGTGTGAGTAGAGATCTGCCTGAACTTTGCTGAGCAGGCCATGAACACAATCTTCTCTTCTATCTGGGAAGGCAAGAACAGAGCTGAGATCATTGCACAGCTAGGAACAGCAACACTGTTCTCAGCAGCAGCATCCTTGCTGCTCTGCTTGTCATCGCTGTTGTGAGTGACAGTGTGGTTACCACACCACATACCAGCATCTTCTGATGCTCTCCTCAGCCCCCGAAACACAGAAATAAAGTGGATAAAGCTAACTAGAGAGTAAGGGAATCTGTAACTGCTCTCACAAGAAGCCAAAAAGGTCTCACTTGAGTTTTGTTATAGACACCAAGGGAATTTTACAATTCTGTTAGAAAGCAGCATTGTGCACAAGCTTACAGGGAGCCCAGAGGAATTGACTGTATGGCTATTCACACTCCAGCATTAAAATTTTTATGTTGCATTTTATCCATGCCGTAATGCAGAGCACACATTTGGTTTCTTAGGCCACAACTTCATCAGACAACATTTTGCTGTTGGTTTCAAAACCCTGCTACACAGACAACTACCACAGAAATTGCAGGTCAGGTCAAATACCCGTAACCAAAGCCAACTGCACTCCCAGAACAGTATCTGGCTGCAATACCCCACTTTTGATTCCTGGAAAACTTCATGGATATATATATGCAAAAAGGCAGTACATTAAAAGAGACCACCAACTTTAGCATGGCTTTCAGTTTCATGCCATGTGAAGGGCAAACATACCTGCAGAGACAAACAGAGTGCAATGAGAACAACTTAGACTACCAGACTTGGAGCTGGGGGAAGACACCATTTAATACGGATGGAAAGCTGCTGGATAATTTTACCTTGGAGAGAACATCATGCATGGTTCCCTAAATGCTTAGAGCAGACCACTGGCTGCTGTCACCACTGCCCTGTGTGCTGCAGGCTATTTCACTACCTTTGCCAGGAATTACAATAAATCAAATATATTTCTGGTCTCTGAGTTCATATGTGATGCACAGTCACTTGCTAAATTGGCTTCTTAGTTTGGATTGAGGCACTTGAAACCCCTGAATAAAAAATATGGAAGATTACAGAGATATTTTTAAGAGGAGGGCCATTTGACCTTGCAAGGCTTACACTGCTTGGTAAGATTTTGTGTTTCCTTTCTTGCAACACTTCCTTGCCTTACTGCCCTCAACAACTTTATTAGTAACAACTTGTTTCTGTTTTGGCCCCTCAGAAGTCAAATGACATCATTTGAATGCTACGATATGCTGGCAAACTGTGCATAAGAAATGCTCCACTGATCCAAGTTCAGGTCTTCCTGTCAAATAATGTTGGTATAGCAGACAAGGCTACAGATCATAAATGTAAAAATAGTTAAAGCCATACCCCAACTCATGTAACAGGGTTCCCAAAATCACTTCCAAAAAAGGCTCTTTTGCCAAAATTCTTCTGCAACTCAAAACTTACTTAGGCTGCTGTGCCAGACAGCGTTATTGTAATTGGAAACATTTGGGAACTGCATTGTGTGCTTCACAAATCCTTTAGAGGCCAGAGGCGCCCCAGAGCAGCAAGGGCTGCTAAGAGTGCCTGCACCCCAGACCCAGCAGCACTGTCCTTCCACAGGCTTTTAACATTCAGTGGTGGATGGAGGGATCTGCTCTGAAAAGGTATTATTTTATGGAAACCCAGGTGAGCAGAGGCTTTTTAATGCTTTAATACATTGTAGCAGGGGTTGATAAATGCAACCCATGAGGTCACTCGAACACCTGCTTCAAATAGCAGAAGAAAGATTAGTACTTGTATGTATGTTGGACCTTTCTTCAATGCTGGTCCCCAGTGCTAGTTAATTTTGGGCAAGATGGATGAGAAACAGGAGTACACAGATACATGATCTTCCATTTTAATGGTGACTGGGGTGCTTCTGCAAGACTGAGGGATAAAGGTCCCAACCCTGTTGAATTTAAGTCAAAATTACAGCAAAAGAATTATCTGATATTTACAGTCCCTCTTCACTCCACTTCCTCTTTTAAAGTTAAGTGAAACTTTTTTTTTTAATTTCACACAAAAGCTTCTCACCTCAGAAGGATTTTTGTGTCAAGTACTGCTATACAGTTGGTTTTAAACAATTAAACAAAAGAAACACATCTATCGCAGGTTTTCAAGTCTCTACCTTGGGGTGAGAAGGATATTCTTCCCTTCATGGGGCACAACTTGTCCATTTTAGAAAGAACACTCAAGAGTCTCATGTCAGATCTCTCCCAACCACCACCAGCTGCAACAGCACACAGGCTCTTTCCTCAGCACCTCTTCTAATATTAGCCAGTCACAGAAATTGGCCTCTTATTTATTTCATATGTGCACAGAATTAAAACCAGTAGCATCAACCAACCGACGAGTGCAGTTTCAAAACAGTCCCTAATTCCTATGATTTTGTGTCATGCTAACAGAAACAGGAAAACAGGAGCTCAGCTTCCTTCTGTAAACTTCAACTCTCAGGATAACAGCCCACTGCTGAAATTTGGAGCAAGAACTGCAGAGAGAACTGAGTGGCATTTGGCAAGATCTCCAAACCTTCATGGCAAGGCTCACCAGCATGCTGAGATTACCATTTCCCAGCGTTCTGAGCCAAAGGGAATGTGCCCCAGCTTCTCAGCTGCTCTAATGCAAACTTTAAACAAAGTGCAGGTAGATCTGCACCAACACGTTGGACTATTAACTGAAGTGGCTGAGGTGCTAAAACATTGCCAGCTGGAATGTGCCAAGTACTGCCAACGACCTTGTGGGAATGCAAGCTTCTGGGAGAGCTATGAAGCAGAAGTCTTATATTGCCATGCCAAGATATGCCAGAACTAATTTGCTAAACTTCTAGATCAAAGAGTTGGTGCTGAATTATATTCATAAACTCATGCTAAGCACACCAATTAGAAGAAATCTTTCTTATCATAAATTTGAATTCATTTGACTTCATTTTTCTCTCCTTGCTTTTCAATTTTCCCTGAGGAATACAGAATAATCTTCAACAACAAAAGAAAACGAAACAAAAAAATCAAATCAAATAAATTGGCATAATACAGACAATTATTACAAAAAACTCACTTTAAAATCACTATTCAAAACCACTACTTTTCCCACTGTCTTTATTCTAGCTCCAATTAAACACGAAAACATGTAAGGCTTTTTTTTTTTTTTTTTTTTTTTTTTGGAGGGTACTTTTAAAAGCACTCAAAGTACTCTGTTGTGTTCTGGAGTAAAGAGCCAAAATTAGAGTCACTGCAAAAACAAAGTAGGAATTGTGTAATATTAAGCTTTTCCTCTCTTTAGTTCTTTTCTAAGAGTTTTAGAAAGGAAAGCCAGTTGAAAAACAAACAAAAATTAAAAAAAAAAAAAATTAAGCAAGAAACTTACTTGTGTCAGGCTGAGATTTCAGCACGCCTTCAATGGCAGTGGTGATTTTGGAAACCTGACTATGAAACTGTTGGACAGAGTTTTTGAGGCCAGAAATATCAGTGGAATGAGATGCTATAGTTCCATTCATTTCACGGATGCAGTTCCATAAGCTGCTCACGTGCTTATTCAGACCTTCTTTAATATTCTGCAAACTGCCTGAAACAGAGTCCAGCTTGCCACAGACTTTTTCAACATGTGCGACTCTGCTCTCAACATCTGAAACACCCTCCTGGACACCTTGGGTCTTTTCTTTGCACTTGCTGAGATCATTCAGGATATGGTCATTCAGTTGTTCTAGTCTGTCTTTCACTTCACCACAACAATTCTCACTGGAATGAGCAGTTTGATTTGCAAACGTCCTCTGCATTTGATCAATTTTTCGGAAGACACCTCTTTGTGTTTTTCTGCATGTTGAATTGACACCCAGAAGCTGCTCCCTGCAGCTGCTCAGGCCATCTTGAAGATTTTTCATATCTTTATCAATGGCATTTAGATTGTATCGGAATACACGCACATCTCTCTGCATTTTCTGGATGTCACGTTGGTTACCCTTAATTAAGTTGAGTTTCTCATTAAGAGAGCTATTTAGAGACTGCAGGATAACAGAATTATTCTCTGTTTTCAAAAGCAAGTGATTGTACTTGTCATTACAATTTTCTAGCTGTTTTTGAAGGTCCTCCGTACCTCGCGGTGCAGACTGACATTTGTGCCCACAGAGCTGTTCTAGTGACAGCAGTTTGTCCTTCACAACATTCATCTCTGCTGTAAACTGCTCATTTGCAAACCCTGCATCGCTGGGCAAGATAGGCTCAGGATTAACAAACATTCCATCTGGGTCCGTGGTGTTGGCAATCTCCAAAATAGTCCCGCCTAGCCTAACCTCCAGTGCCCGCAGCTTTTGGTCAAACAAGTCTCTCAGTTCATCCACCTCAGCAGCGATAGCACCGCGGAGAGTCTCCTCAACGTAGAAACAATGTTCCTCAGCATTTCGTTCTGTAATATTCATCCTTGCATCTAGCTCCTCCAGCCTCTCACCAAACACATCTTCTAGATCTGGAGTTGACAATCTAATTATTTCATTATCTATTCTAGCATTCAAGATCCTCTGTGCTTCCACAATTCTGTCAATCTTCTTATCTAAATCTTTCATCTGTTGGTCAAAGCCATTTCCTTCACCCTTCTTGCAACAGCTGGAATCATTTGATGGAATCTGAGTGCGGAGAGAATCTATTTCTTTCCTCAAGTCATTCTCTTTTCCTCTTATAACATCAATTATCCCTACACAGTTGTTTTCACTTTCATCATACTGCTGCTGAATATCTTCCAGTTTATAGTCACAGGAGTTCTTCAGATCTGCCATTTTCTTCTCAAATCCTTCCATTATTTCTTGCCTGAGGGACTCAAATTTTGAGTCTATATAGTCCTGATATATATTGTCACGGGGCATTGTTATTGTAGGTCCTTGTGCTGCCTCCTGCAGTTGTTTTAGTTGTCCTTCATAGCCCTTTACTTTTCCACTCAGTTCCTCCAGCTCATCATTCCTCATCTTCAAGGCTTCTTTCACCTCAGCTAGCTCAGCTTTTATATCTTCCATTTCAAAATCAATAAAAGGGTCCTTTTGATCTTTATTGCTGAGGAGTCCTGGCAGCTGAATAGTGTCTGTTTCACCACCAACTGCACTGTCCGGCTCTGGGCGGTCGTAAAGGTTGTTCAGCCAAGTGACCAACATCTTGCTAGCATCTTCTTGTACAGTCAGCTTCAGGTTTTCATTCACACCTGCCACGGAGGACTGGAGTTCAATAACAGACCGTGTAAGTCTAAACAATTCGTCCTCAAGAAACTGCATTCTTTTCTCATATGGTGGAGGCTCCGGCGCTTCTGTTGGTTCTGCATCTGTTCCCCAGAAATAACAAAATGTGGATGTAAATATTCCCAGTGGTATCTGTTCTGATTTCACTTTTCTTTAAAATGAAATAATGGTTTAAACTGCCTAATGCTTGTTGTCTTTTCTGTTCTTATTTTCAGTAATTTATAATTAATATGTTATCAAAAACCTCAGAACTAAAAGTTTCAGCACAGTGACCAATTCCTGCCAAGATACAGTGGCCATAAAGAAACTGGCAACCACTCCTCCTGCTCAGCAATGGATCTAAGCTATGGTATATATACCAGACCAATACAGGTCCATACACATCACCTTAGAACCACTGCATCTCCCATAACAATAATTTGCCCCTGAATTCCCACCGAAAACTTCAGTCACAGTCATTTATGTGCCTGAAGTGCGTTTGTGCTTCCATGTTTTACTGGCCTGGGATCCAAATATGCATCCCATATATGACATGGGGTTCTGCAAGACACTCCAGTTATCCCACTTGCTTCACAAATACCTAATTATTTGGCATATATTTAAGTAGGCAATAAAAAATGCATAAAAGTGTAAAATTTATACATTCAAAACTGTTAGATTAAAATAACTTATCCTCACTGTATGAAAATCAGAAAGAGAAGACTTTTAGCCGCAATCTACTTTTTACCTATCATTAATCAATTAATGGATCTGAATCTTGTCATTAGTAGGACTTCATTTACAAAGCCATGTACAAATCTGGATGTTCAGTTTCACATAAAATGTATAACAACTGCAGAAAATCCAGAACAAAAACCCAGAAAACAGGGTCAAGAAAGGATAAATTGCAGGAATAGTCAAAAGTAATTTTTAATTTTGTCTAGAAGAGAGAAGAAGAATACAGATAATCACCATGTTTTATTATCATCTTTTGGAATTAATATTTTAGGTTGGCTAAAAAAATACTTAAAAACCTTGTTCCTAAAGCAGGTATATAATCTATGGGACTAGTTTGAAACCATGTATTCAGTCATTCAATACATTCCACTACACAGAAAACACATGTGGAAATCTGACTAAGTGTTATATATGACACTAATCTCCAATTATGTTGGAAAAGGTCCTTCAAAAGGAAACATTTGTTTATCATTTTTTCTTAATGGAGAAAAAGCATAATATGGCAGTAACAGCATTCTTTCTTGCCCTTTCAGAAGACAGTATCTTACACAGACAAACACCATTCATTCTTTAAAATATTTTTTCAGAAGTTGAGGCTTATCCATACTTACTCCCTTACTCCTCATTATTAAAGCACATAATCTAATGTGAATTTGTAAAAACTTTATAATCTAAAAAAAAAACCATTGTGAATCTGCTAGGAACCCTTAAAATTCATATCTGGGTTTTTTTGTTTGGTTTTTTCCTGGTCTTTTTTTTTATTTTATTTAGTAATAGTATTTTTTTTTTCCTGAACATTGGAGAAAACACCAAAAAAACCCTGTAAATTCGTACAAAACCCACAGTCTTAACCCAAAGATTTTGTGGCACCATGAGTAGCCAGCTACCATTTCCAGCCAGTGTTCTACAGCCCATTCCTCTGTTATTCTTTGGGAAATTCTCTGTATCAGGATTGATATTGCCTGGCTATTATTTCCTCATCACACAGAGTCTTTCACATGGCTTTTGTATCTGCCAGCAGTAGAATTCACTAGCAACCATAATGATTGTTATCCCTAGAAGATAAAACAAGAAACCAGACATGACTGTGCATACCAAAATTCAAACAAAATGTTACCTGTGCCTTTCTTCACAACAGCTTTCGCTGGTGTTGTGGGACGACGAGCAGAGTTTGGCTTTTCTGCTGGCCCTTCCCTGCAGTCCTCCCCTTTGTAGCCAGGACAACATCTCCATTCCAGCTCTGTCACTGTCTTATATGCAACTGTGTACCGAGGTCTGAAACTCGTTCGGTATCTGCCGAAACAGAAAGCATTTTAACCAATCCATAACCTAAGCTGCTATTTAGATTAAAATTAAAAACAGGTTTTGGGACTTTTTATAATGAAAATCAAATACTTACAGCCATCATTCATTTTCTGCTTTAAACATCAAATGAACACATGCGTCTGTCTAGCTGCCTCCATTCAACACAGTCATGATAGGGAGCCATGGAATACGGTCTTTCATGTATGAGCAGAGGGATAAAATGTTGTGGCAAGTGAAGGTACAACTCATTAGACACCGCTGACAGTACCCGTGACCACCAGTGTCTTAGACTACAAATTCAAAATGCTTTTCCACTAACTTTACATTGGAACCCTCCCCCCAGGGCTCTTCTGAGCATCAAAAAATGCTTCTGCCTGCTTTGCCCCATTTGTATTTCCACAGTCTCCACTTAAACCATTCCTCAGAACCCATATGTACAGCACAGTCAAAGCTGGGAGGGATATTCCAGAGAAGGACAAAATGCTAAAAGTGTGAGTCAGACAAGGACATGAAAGAAGGAATCAGATTGAACACTACAACCAACGAAGAAATCAACTCATTCCTACTTCATCAGTTAAGTTGAAGAGGGTCTGGCAGACAAACCTATACACACATTATGTACATACAACCTTGAGCTTCCCTGATTAACCACTCAAAAGTTAATAAATGACAAATTCTGGTTGTGCAACTTTCTTTAAGGCAGGGTCATCCTGTGCTGTATCTCCATCTATGAGCTGCTCATAACTGCAGTGGTTTGCTGTGCCTGTCAGCTTTTCAGACTCTGACTTGGAGCATGTAAACTCAGAGGTTTCCAATCCTTGTGTACCTTCTGATTACCATATATGAAACAGCTGTAGACTTCACTCCAGCTCATCATTTCTTCTACAGTTTTCACTTAAACATCTGCTGAACCCTGTTTACAAAGTACAGAAATCCCAATGGTAAAGTGCTTTATAAATTAAATAGAGGAGTGCAATGTAGAGGGCACCACTAGGGAGAACAACATCCCGGCCACCCAGGAACTTCCTTTTCTTTCTCCCTTATCTAAAGTATTAAACCACATCTTCTGTAGATAATTTGGGTTTGAATCCTTTCCTTCCAGCTAGCTGCCAGAGTCAGGAGAAACAGGATTAACCAGATACTTCAGTGTTTTGAAGTGGTTTTGAGAGTAATTACAACCTCTCTCACAACCACCACATTACTGAAGTGCAAACTCTGAACCTCCAGATCAGTTTTCCCATGCTGGAAATGGTTGTACATACTTCTGTATGATTTCCATAAAACACTTAACTGCTCCTAACTTTGTGTGTGTTCCTCGTTTTATTTTCAGGGCCAAACCCCTTTCTGAAAAATACAGTATTTTAGTTATTATCAAATGCCAAATCTCTCTTTTTTCCCAACAAAATTTTAAGAATATAGCTGAAACTTATTTTATAAAATGAGTAAGAATTACATATATGCAAATTGTGCTGCTCTTCAAATTACAGAATGAGGATTTTCCATCACATTTCTGACAATTTTCTCTTTGAGCACCTTCTGTGTAGTCTTCATCAATATAGACACTTTCAGATGGCTTCAATAGCCAGAAAAATAATAAGAAACAACCAAATACAAAATAATAATATAAACAAATAAAAAGAAATAAAGCTTAATATTTTTCCAGTATCAAAAATTTAAAACTTTTCCAAACTCCATCTTAAAAAGAAAAAACAGGCATGTTTGACATTCTCACTCTTCTTTGTTTTATAGTTTCCTGGTCCTAATAGGCATAAAATACTTAAATATGAATTAATTTTTAAATATAATTGAAAAACAGTCCACTTCTAAAAAAATTCTTTCTTAAAAGTTTGAAACAACACAAATTAGAACTGCTTTGTTTTCAGATATGGTACATCAAATACAAATTAACCTGAATCCTAAATCACAGTTCCCCTAGAGCCAAAATAAGCTAGAATCAGAACATTTCAAAATCTGTGTCTAGAACAGCTTTCATATTCACACTTTGAACTGTGGTAAGAAGACAGCTATACTCAAGGATGGCTCAAAAATTCAACTGGAATTTACTTACCATGAGCTACTTCTCTATACTGCTAGTCCAGCTGAATGAATCACACAGCTACTCCCATTTCCTCCAGAAAGGCTAGACATGTAAGGCTAGGAAACAGGAACTTACACTACCACTTCTCTAATTTGAATGCAGTCACATAAAAATTTCTTTAAAATCACAGTTTCACTGCTACAGCTTCTCTACCAATGACATTCTTCAAGCACAACTGCTGTGCAAGTTGCAAGGAACGGTGTCACTGCAACAGCACCATCCAGCTGCACTAACAAATGACAGCGCCAGCATGCATCCAGCCCCAGGGAGGTTCTCAATCACACAAGATACTTTTTAAAGTCAGAACTTTGCTCACTCAGTGACTTTCAGTGGAGGAGCTGAAGACTTCCAGGATTTTGCTAGGATATAGCAGTCTAACAGCACAGAACACAATTATGTTCTTGGTTACAGTTCTAACAAAACAAACAATAAGTTTCACCTAAGCATCCCTAATTTGTGATTCTATGCATGTGAAAGACACAAGACTGGGAACTATCAAAATATACAAATTAGACATGGCTTTATTTAAATCTGCAGTATTCTGAATCCAATTACCCATAGCCACAGCAAACTTAAAATACACAATCACAAATTTACAAAACACAAAATGCACTCAAGGCAGCCAGAGAGACAAAATGTTCCTTCTCTATAAAGCTGGATAAAGATACATAGTTGGAATGTAACACGAAGTTTCATATGGCTTATCTGGCAGGTGTGAATCTTTACAGAGTTACCTAGTGAGGCAATTTTGTCAAAAGGTTCCACAAAAGTTTCCTGAGTATCTTAAAAATTGAGGCTCTGCTATTTTATACCTGTATATGCTGCAATGCAATTCAGAACCAGTAAAGCATCAACTCTTCCTCTGGTTGACTTGGATTTCTGCTATTCAAATAAGTGTTAATAAACACAATTACTTTTACAAGTATTCTTCAAAACTATTCTATAAAATAGTAATTTCTTATGTGGTTAGAAGCTACATATAACACACCAGCATTCACTGTGCCTAGTCACTCCATTATCCTGTGGACTTCAAATCCAAGATGAGGGTCATAATCTCTTGATGAACTGAGCTAAATACGGAAATAATAATTTTACAAGGCATGAATAAAGGTGAATATCAACTGTCTCTAATCTTTCATTGCAACAGAGAACATAAGAACAGCTGTTTTTTAGTTTTTCTGCAACAGGCTTGTAACTACCCATACCTACTGCCTTCACCATGAACTCAACATGCTGATCAAATGAGAAAACATTTCCACAATGTTAATACAAACCTCCACTTTTAATATCTTAAGTGTTTCACAGCCGAAATGAAGTTGTACAGAGTGACAACAGCACTCAAATATTCCTCTTCTTTGAGAGAGAAATACTTCCATAGGAAAATGCTTAATTAAAAACCCATGTTTGCTGCAAATGCTGGACATTTTCACTGGGGCATGAACTATAGTATTCTCACGGTGCTAAACCACAGAAGGAAACAGTTAACACTCATATTTGGAATGTCACCTAATAGCGATAAAACAAATCAGAAACATTTGGATGAAATTGGTGGGAAAACATATGGATCAGCTCTGTAACTGGATATTAACATTCAACCTTTTGGGAAATGCAATGAGATAAGTGCCACCACATCCTCACTGCAAGGAAGGGACCACAGAATCAGCATGTTTCTACATAAGCAGCATACAAAATGTTTACTCTGAGCACAATGCTTCAAGGTTGGTCCAAAATTCTGTAGTGATTGGAACAAGTCCCATGACTTCAGCAGCCGCAAATTTCTGTCTTTATAAAATAGAAGATATCAAATCTACACTGCTTAACATTTTCATTGCATGTAGACACATTCTTTGTAAGTTGCATCGTCTGGTAGTTATATTTATACAGTTTACTATAGCTACATAGTCCCAGTCATCCAAATCTCCAATATATTGCAATGGAAGCACAGAAGTGGCATATAGACACCACCCCAAAACACTACCTAGAACATGTAATTAAGTGCAATCATATTTTGACCAAACATTTTTTATTTTGTAGGCCGAAAATACTTCTGCTGAAAATAAGCCTTATTGGCTGTTCATACTACACAAACAGTGAACTAAAACCAGTTGATGCCATGTTTCCTGCTTCCCAAATGTGCAGGCCTATTTGTATTGGTGGCAGCCAAATGGTGGCAGCAATCCTAGTTTCACCAAAATCTTTGTAGATTTTAGCAGTCTGTCACAGTTGTCAGCACAGCTGGATTTCAGGTGCCTCGTGTGTAGGTAAGGACAGGTTTGAGTTCTCTGTATTTCCATGAAGTTCTCTATATTTCTAGGACTAGAGCAGCACTCCACACAGGCAGCAGAGTCAAAACAGGGCTGCATCTCACCCTAAAGTCATTATTTACATCCTATTACCTACAGAGTGTGCTGGACACTGCTGACTTGCATCTGTGTCACTATCACTGCACTGCACATCAGCTCCCACACTCAAGATTCATCCCTCTGCATTCAGGGCAGACAGTTTGGGTCAGGGTGAATCAAATCCCTTTGATTCTTTTTCTTTGAGTACCTTGCCACTATGCAGCAGCACTGGCAGCTAGCTTATGTTCTAGCCCACAGATGAGCCTAATTTGAGAGAAATGTGTCTCTCCCAAGAATTTATCCTAAGACATTTATAGCAAGCAGCAAAAATGTGTTTTGATGCAAACAGATAAACCTACAGAAGTCTAGGTGTTGAGTGAAAGCAAGCCATCAAGGCTGTAATAAATCCCAATTATGCAATACAGCAAAAATCTATTTAAAAAGAATCCTATTGAACTTCAAAATAATTTTCCATTTCCATCTGGCATTAGAGACACTAATCTGCTTCTTACATATGGATTTAAGCAAGTCTTATCTTACATTGCTAT